CGCCGCCGACGCGCGCCCGAAGGTTCCGGCCGCCCGAAGGTTCCGGCCGCGGCGCGGGGCGCGTTGGGGGCCGCCCCCCAGGGCGGCGCAGCGGCCGTTGGTGCCGAAAAGGGTCAAAAATCGGAAGATTAAAGGAAAAATCATACATCAAAAGTAACGCAAAGGCAGAATTTTCGCCTTCTGCGTCCCAGCTCGTGATTTTGGTCGGCCTTTTTTGAGGTGACCTGTGACCGGAGAGCATATTTTCTTCCAGAATGAGRGGAAAAAAATAATTTTGCATCCTTGGAATGAGAGGGCGGGCTGTGGAAACCAAGACCCGCTGCAGCCTGTCATTCCCCACCGCAGGGAAGGGGGACAGGCCGATGGCAGCCCAGCACAGCGCTGTGGCCTTGGGGACACTGACTTGGAGCGAGGCRGCTCCTGCAGAGCCGGGGCAGGCCGGGGGCTGCCAGGAGCCTCAAAAAACAGTCTAAAGCATTCGGGGAACTACTGCAGGTTTAAAGCTYATTAAAAATAGAAACAACACAAATAGGTATTTTATTTGTATTCCATGTGCCTTTTTAAAAAATATATTATTAAGCAGCCCACCTTTCTCCAAGAAATGCCAAGGTTCATCTTCTTCATTTGATGCAAAACTGTACCTCCTCCTCCTTCTCAAAATAGATCATCTCTTCCACCCCTCACCCCTGTGCTTGATACAGGGATGATGTATTGGTGCCCTGAGACCACCACTTTTTTTTTTTTTTTCAAATATATATATTTTTTTCACACCCAATTGGGAAGACCAGAACGSTAGTGTCATGACATAGCTAGAAGAAAGGGTAAAGGTAGCAGCATGCTCAGCAGTGACACATGCAGGGCCCCAGGGGTGACAGCAAGGGTGGCCCAATAGTCTCTAGTTCAAGGCCCTGAACTTAAAGGCCAGAGGGATTTTCCTTCCCTCTCCCCTCATTTGTCTAAGCCGCAATACTTAAAATAAACCTTCTAACCCTCCCAACTTTTGGGCAAGGTGGTCCCACAGCTYATCTAAACAGTGCTGTGGAATAAGATGTTTTGGCCCTTTTAAATCTTCCCTYGATGTTACTGCTCCTCACTTTCTCCAAAACCACTCTCAGTTTCGTAAACCTATCCCCCTTTCCAAATCTTTTCCAGGYTAAAGACTCATCTATTTAATCATGCCTGCCAGTATAGTTACCCTCAGATACACAGATTTCCTTCTTACAAGGAGACAAATTTAAGCAAGAGGCTGTTTACAACATGGTTTGTGCAAGAGGCTTAAAGCTACTATTCAGCTCCTTGGCTGCAGCTGAAGGGCAGAGAGGAAAAGAAAGAACCACAACAACATTTGTGCAGTCATCGATTGCTGACGTTCAGTATCCATTATATTTAAGAAAACAGCTTGCATAAATGACTTTTCACCACAGTGCTATCACAAACAAAATTTAATGCATATGAAACCTCACATGTATTTAGATTTCTGTAAAGAAAGCTGCTACAAAATAGCATCTTGCTTATCAAAGAATTCCAAACTTGAGGCACGTGCATTTCAGCCACATTAGCGTAAATGGCAGGCAACACAAGACATTAAACAGATGCCATGTCTGCTGGAAACATTAAATGAGAGATACATTAAACTACCACTGTAAATATTGGCCATGTTAAATAAATGCCCTTTGCAATTCGCATTAGTTACCAAATAAAATCCAGCAAATTCTCATTCTGAGCATTTTCTAGTAAAAACTAGTATGACAGTTTACATTTAAAGCCAATAGGCAACACTCAAACTGATTTTACACTAAAATGCATATAAAGTTTTATGATGAGTTTATAATTTTTTTAATGTTCATAAAAGCTTCCTCTGTCCTGAGGTACAAAATAGATTAGCTATTTCCAAAACTGTAGCAAATCACTAAGATTTAATGCTTAATTGCTTTTGAAATGCATTCTTCTCATGATACTAAATTATTTGTCAAAAATTCATATTCATCTGAACAAACTGGTTTTACTTAGTGGCACAATTAGTATATTCCAGGAGCTTCTTTGCCTCTCAGTTTTTTTTCAGGCATAAAGACAGACAGTTCCCTTTGGAATATGTACTCACCATTATTTATTTCTCACAAGAGAAAGAACACAAGTGCAAGGGAGCTTTTTCTTTTTGGTAGCAACATATTTTCAAGAAAGCTTTTTTTTTTTCTTTTTTATAACATATACATGTGACCAAAGGCCTTGGACATTCTGGGCAACAACTGAGTAGATGTCATTTCCCTTATTTAAAAAGAAAAGAGTACATAAATCTCTAAAAAGGGACTACAAAACCACAGTGCTAATAATGCCCAGATTTTTCGACCTTTATAGAATAGACATTGTAAATGCATATATACAAAATTTGTGTGGCACATTACACTTTCATGGGTAATTATTTCTTAGTAAAAATAGACTGCAATATAAAATATTAAAAACAATTTAACTTGTACCACATGGACTTCATATACCTGACATTTAAAGAGGACCATTGCATGATAATATATTAAGAGATTATTTTCAAGTAAATTAAGATTCAATTTTTGTAGACACATATACACTAGAGTATTCCAGTACTATCTATTTCAGTATCTGAAATACGCAAAAAATAACAAGGAAGTAAAAATCTGAAAGTTTGCATACTTCGAGTTTCAAACATGTTATTCCATATGCAAAGTTCCTGTTGTCTTAAATAGAAACTAAGTATTGGGGCCTATTCCACAGGAATTCGGGGAAAGCTGAAGTACTTCCTACAGAGAGACAGTGAAAGTCAATCTAATCACTTATCACTTGATTTTTAATGATTTGAACAGTGCTTTGATTTTCCAGAACTATTAATAATTTGGGTTTTTGCTTTTGCAACCAAGAGCACCCAGAATATCCCTTGAAAAGCTTGCATCCAGCAGACTACAGAAAGGGAAATTGCTCTGCTGAACTTAGATTATTCTCAACATTAATTGCCTGTGAGAGCTATGGACTCAAAGTCCYAACTTAGAAATACTTAATAGCCAGTTAAGATCAAGGATCTGCATATAACATATTAGAACAGATTGGACTGGGATGTGTTTGATCTCCATTGCATAAACAAAATGCCTAAAGACACTATATACAGACATTTTTCCATGATCTTTTTTTTCCCCACTCAAGAGTTTATCATGAAACCCTCAAGTACAATTGACAAGCTGTGAATTGCTCCTGCTTTAAACAGTGAACTCTTCTGTAACTGCTATTCAAGACAGCTTATAATACTGGCACTCTTTAGTTAAAGATGGGCTAAGTTCTAGTTCCAGTAATTGCAGAAGTACTAGAACATGGCCAAATATGTACCTGTTCTTGGCTTCAAAAGCCATTATACTACTCTTTTCTTTCAGTCCTTTTTAAAAAGGTTAAGTGTTACCATAAAAATATATAAGCATAATAAATTTTAGAGAAAGTCTTGTCACATTATAATTGCATCAGTAAATATATTTAAGTTTTTAAAAAACTGAATATGCTCTACATTTTGCCACCATTAAGTACTTGGCCAGCTCTTCCCCACTGCAAGTCATTATAAATGCTTGCCCTAAAAGTCAATATTTTACTGGCTATTAAAAGCAATACAAACCAATAAACAGATTTAATCTATTAAAATATATATACTTGATTTTTTTTTCCTATGGATTTCACAAGCTATCTGCATATTTTGCAAGCTCTGTCTCCCTTGTTAGTAGTCACTGGAGTGRGTTACTTGTAGCAATCCCTACGTGATCACAGTGTCCCTATTGTAAAGGCCGAAGGGAGAAGAGCAGGGCACAAGAGTAGGTCCCAATTTTCAATTGGCRGCTGCTTCTGTTTCCGCTTTCCCTTTTGGCGTGTCAGAAAAGAGGAGTTTCCTGAGTATGCTTGCATAGAAGGGTCCATACACTTGCTTGTTGAAGTTCACAATGTTTGCATACTGAGCTCCAAGGAGCTCCATCTCGGGCTGGATCACGGAAAGGCCTCCTGGCATAGCAGGCATGCACTTCCTAACGCTCGGAAGGGCGAGCAAGCTTCGCATGAACAACTGGATCCGCTTATCTGAAACGGAATATAAGGTACATTCAGAACACGTAGCCATGCAGCCTGAAGACACACGTGCTTTACAAACACCCTGCACATCAGCACAGCAAGGCAGCCAACAGTGCAGGTGCTTTCCCTCACCAGAGGGAGGGACAATACTGAAAACACCTCATATAGAGAGCTGCCTCCTACAAAATAGGAACAGATACTGCCTATTGAAACAAGGCTCTGGGACCTAACATGAAGCAGATCATGTAAAGAAAACCGAAAACAAGTTTAAATTCAAGAGTTGACAAAAGACAGACTGAATAAAAATTCTACATCTTCTCTGAAATCCCAGCACTCAAGGATTGCTGATAGAGACATTTTTTAAGTTACGTCAAGCTGTAACTAACCATGCTCTACAATGTAAGAATACAATCCATRGGTTAACATTTCTTTACTCTCTCTTAATTTACCCAACATTTTAGGGCAAGAGTGCTTTTTAAAAATAACCAGACAAGAGACTAAACTTGCTTGAAGCAAGCTTTAAAGTTAATTTCTACAGGGACACATACAACAAGACAGTCATATATTCTCTTACTTACCAATCAATGAACTGACAGGATTGTTCTTCTCAACAATACGACCAATTTGACCCACTAAATTATCCTGCATTTCTTTATCAAGAATGGGGAAGCCTCCTTCAGAGAGAGACTTGTTCACTTTGCTGCAAATCTGAATGCCGATGGCATTCAAAGCCTCCTTCAAATCAAAAGTTCTGTAAGAAAAAAAAAAAAAAAAACAGAAAAGGAATTAACATTTTTAGTTCTTACAGTACAATTAAGTTCACCAAGTTTTGAAAACTCGTTCCTCTCCTTTCCCATTGCTCCTTTCAAGATGCTCCTCCCAACATGAAAGTTTAAAAAGTTTATYGATAATTTCCTTTTGCAGGTTTACATACTTCCATAGACACAGGATAAATCTCTGCCTACCACATAAACTAAGAATGCCCACTAGGATGTGAATGGGAAGTGTCATTGTAACATGCAGCATCAAATAAACCTAAGATCACAGTGATTTGGTGTTAAGTATTTTCCTGGGCTGGATTCACAGCATGTCACAGTAAAACAGCTTCCCGTTCTTCAGGGAGATTCTGACAGCAGCAGACTTGCTCACAGCATAAGTAGCAGCAGGAAAATCCACAGCCCAATAACTTGGGCTACCTCTGGACCAAGCCTGGAGCAACCAGCAAGACAACTTKGTGAACGTCTTGCCAGTCTCTCCTCTATTGGGAAGAGAGACTAATGAGCTTTAGTGCTATCCTCTACAACCAGAAAGTTACAAGGTCAAGATTCAGAGTTCTACTAAAATACAACTTTCAAGACATGCACTTTAATATATACAGCAGACAGATGGTAGTGAATGTAGATCTAAGTGAGGCACAAGCTATGACATCACCCATTTCCTGCATTTTTTCAGGAATGCTCCTGAAGCACCCAATATCTCATTTCTTGTGTAAATAAAAAATAGAAAGCAAGTGACAAACAAGGCCTTACTTCTTGTTCATGCCTTCAAGAAGAGGAAAAGAGATCTTTTTCAGCTGGTCAGCAAAATCTGGCACATTCACAATTGCTGCACCCACTGYATTGTTTGTAATGAGACACACACAGGCTATGATTTTTAATTGATTTAGTTTTTCTCTCAGCTCCTGAAGACGAACTTCATCTGTTATTAGAGTCTAGAATTGAAACAATAATATCAAATTAGAAATAGAGGGAGAGAGGCATGGACAAGGACAGAGAAGATACCTTTATACAACATTAATAATTTTAACCATAAATATGCCAAGCCAGAATAAGGCAGCCACTAAACCCCTTGAATATGTAGTACTGCTGAAAGTAGCATTACAGGTAGGTACTAGGGGTATAGCTGAGATAAAGGTGAAACCTCCAAGACCAAATACAAACAAACTAACAAAAAAACCCCCCACTTTTGGTAAGTGTCATAGTCTGAAGCACATGGACAGTGACAAGCAACTCTGTATGACAACTGCTAGTGCAACCACTAATTCATTAACTCAATCACTAGAGAGGTTTAAACGAYCTGTTACCTCCCACAGGCAAAAAGGCAAGATCAAAACTGTAGATAACTTCCATGGCAAGATGTAGCTGGAATGTTTTATTTATTTTTAGAGATAAGAGCTCATCCTAAGCAAGGCATTTCACTGAGAAACACAGGGGCCTCCGTTTTCAGCTGGCTGACAGTAATTCATACTATATGACAAGCTAGACCCACATGGGAATACCCATGTCTAGCTTATACTCAAAGCTGGGGCATGAGGGCAAGAAAAGAAGGTGGTTTCTATTCCTTCTACTGATCCAGGACACGGAATATTCTCTTGCAGTTTGCAAATTCTCTACCAGGCCACCATAGATATAGTACAAGTTCCTGCTATGCAGATGCTGCCTGTTCCTGCTATGCTGCCTGTACCCCAACTCACGTCCAGTTTCAAACACTTTCCCTGGAAGTTGTAGAGGCCATTCAGGTTTGGGAAGGAGAACTGAAGAGAGATTTTTCGGGAAAGAATCTTATATGCTCCGAGGATCCAGGCATCTCAGTTCACATGCACTGAGAAAGGGCTAATGCCCAACTTGGAGCACTTCAAGGCATAAGTCAACTCTGCCATAAAGCACAAGTGACTCTTTCAGTCTGATCCCACCAATATCTGCTACTGGTTAGCATAAAATTATGTATTATATATGTGTTTTATATATAAAAAGAAGAAAGCAGCAGGATSGGTTATGACTGAATACAAACCCATCCCCCACATTTCTTAATATTCCCCTATATTGACTTGCCTGCATTGCATTTCAGAAGACAAGGCTAAGCTATTTCTAAATGTATTACTCTGATGTTAAATAGAACTACATTTCCATTTCCTCAACTGTCATTGCCCACAGGATTATTACTACACCAGAATTTTCACAGTTAGGAATTTGAAAACACTGGAATACATTTACCTCTGGAATTACTTTATGATAATCCCACTGTAACAGTTTCAAGTAGCCATTGTTTAGCACCAGTGTAGGACTAAGATTTGGTTTAGAACCACTATCAGCACCAGTGGATGATGARCATTCATCCGAAAGAGAGGACAATTCATCTTCTATTGATTCCTTTATCCATTCTGTTGTGCGATCCAGAGCACCTACACATCACAAATGAGCACAAGATTATCAYATGCAACCTTCTACCAAAATAAGCAGTAGCCTGAGAAAAACAGTAACACACAGACACAACGACGGGATTCCTGAAAACCAAACAGAGTAGACTGCTGACTTCTGAAAGAAGTCAATTCTCGTCACCTTTTCTTCCCCTACTAGGGATCTTCCAGCAATCTTGTACAAACCCAACAACRAATTATTAGATTTAAGCCATTTTTGGAGGGAGAAGAGTCTGAGTASTCTGTATAGGTTTCCAAAGCATTTATATTGTTCAGAGAGGCCACTTAGTAGGTGAGGGATGGGACTCGAATGAGGAAGTGAGGGGACATTAACCATATTAACAAAGGAACAATGTTAAAGAAGTCTAGGCTGCATATAGCTAGAAGTCTAGRCAGCTGTATAGGCTACATATACAAACTCTGTAGGCCACATCAGTGGATCAGGAATTATATTTTAGAAGCCCCCTGCCCTAGCGGCTCAGCAATTATACTTCAGAATCCCCCTGGCTCCAGATCTGAGTTTATATTTCCCTCTCCCCCCATTTCAAAATATATTTTTTAAGGAGAGCATAAATGCAATATATAAACTCTGTAAGAGCAGCTTCAAGTTGACTTTGCAGTATCTAAATAAGTTTTAAAGTATGCATTTTGCTTTATTAAAAACAATCTTTTCCCTTCTTACATTCAGGTACACTAACTGTTTTTTCCAATCTTTACTTCTGCCTAACAGACATGCTGGACACAGAACAGATAAGAGGCTCATCTTTCAGTGCATGAAGCTTCCTCCTACAGAAAGRGTCATTGTGTTCATTTTCCAGACACTTACCAGTTTAGCGAGAACAAACTGGTCAGAAAGTAACCCAGATTACAGATAAGCATGCCTAATAGCAAGTTAGGTACTCCCAGGGTACCAACTGACTGATAGCAGCAGCCTGCTTGCCAAAGATACCTTGCACATCTTAGATTTCTCAGAGAGACGGAATTTTCCCTCTCTTAATTAATTATAATTGACRACCTCAAAGAAAAAAAAAAGTTTAAAAACATCCTTTTTAGTGGAATGTGTAACATAATACCTACTTGGTGTTTCTTCAAGTATTTCCTGGAATTTTACTCTTTCATAATCCACCAAATTGCGCTGAAGATACGGCCTAATGTTTTCAAATAAATAGTTAACCATATCCATTTTCATGAGGTCCAGAACATGGAATATTTGTCTAAAAGAAGAGAAAGTTTAAAAATCCAATAGGTGGGATGGTCTCTATTGAATTTAATAGGACATGGGAGAGAGACTCTCACTAGCCCTGAAACTCCAGTTTTCACTTGTTACAATAAGCTCCATTTCAGTTGTTGTAATAAGCTCCATTATTAGCACTTCAGTGCAAAAACTCACCAAAAGACATAACATTATCTACTTAACTCCTTCAAATATCCTGAAGCGCACTGTATGTAGGTCTTGGTTTGTCAAGAACAGGAGAAACCCTATATAACTAAACACCACAAACCAGCAACAGAAATAGAAGCGTTTACAAATTGACTCGTTTGGTACATTTCAGCCCAGACTAACAGATTTTAACTTTCTTGCCACTTTAACTGTGCCAAGAGAAACAGTGCCTCTGACCCAGTGACTTTGGTCCTCGCATGTGATGCAAGTTGTAATCAAAACATAATGGAGCAGTAAGTACCATTTGCTCTCAATAAGACGTCTAAGAAGACACGAGGTGTTTAAGCAAGTGCATTACTCAACTTCCAACAATAAGATTACTTCATTAATGAAGTGTCAACTGCAGTGCCTGTCCTCCCAGAGGAAGCATGGAATTAGTAGCTCCATGACAWTCAGTAAGCACGTTCCCTTTAGGTTTTGTAAAGGTGAGTAAGACTGAAACAGCAGTCTCAGACATCAKTGGTTAGCACAAACTGCTGCAGGCAGTCACCCCTCATCCCTCATGTTGCTCAGTGATGTAGCTATTCAACCCTGGCACCTTTCAGCGTGCTTGTTTGATTACAAAGGAAGGTGCATGTAACATGTCAGCCACCATGTGCATCACGGCCCCTCCCTCTCAGTGTTTCTCCCARTTAAAAAAGAAGCTTTAGTTTTAGAACAGGTATTACTGCTACTTGCTACTAGCAAGTCCGTTCTCATTGCCTAAGCACACTTTCAGAACAAGAATATTTCCCAAAAATACCAACCTCAATAACTCTATGATATTGTCAGTTGCTTTTAACTGTTTTATGTCATTATCTCTTATTGGAGCACACAACTTTCCCATAGTGTTGATGATATAGTTTGCTAGTCCATGGATATCAACAGCATTGTGCTCTGCTTGCTGTCTTATAAGATCTGTATCTAGAACTTCACAGATCTGAGTTTGAATCCTGTTTGCTCCAGGAGCCAGGAAGGAAAGAAGACTCTGAAGAAGGGAAAACAAACAAACAAACCAATAAATCCCTAAACATTTAATAAACATATTAATAGGAAAATTTTATTTCAATATGTCAAGCGTATTTAGCTGACTGAGATGTTAAGACTAAAAATTATCTAAGGTAGCAGGGGAAAAAAGCTGTTGAAACAGCCACAGTGCAGTCCTGCAAAATCGTTCGAAACCTGTGCATCCRAAATTACTGGGCTCTGTCAAAAACTGGGAGATCTCCCTGTAGGACAAAGTCAAACATTTACCAACTTAACATTGTGCCAGGACTGAGGGTTTCTACATTCACTTGCATGATAATAGACATATTCAGGGAGGTACAGGCAGGTTTCTACTCTTGTTCATGATCTGAATCCTTTGTATGTTGCTGAGCAGAGGTTAGAGATGCACAGCTTCCAGAAGAGAGCTGACTCACAAGTGACAATCCTGCAAAGCTGAGCAGGCCTACAGCTATTTGTACATGCAGCTGTCCAAACATCTGTGCAGTAGTATTTATAGTAACACAAACCACTATAAAGTCAGGGTTATTGTGTCTCTGAAGAATCATTGTTTCATCTTAAAAGAACTTGAAGGTGCTTCAGATTGAGAGTATAAGTTACAGACCTTCTGGGAGGACAAGACCCCCAAACCGAAGATGCCAAGGCAATGAGGGGTAGGCACATGCAGAAAAGTAAATAAATCTCACCTCCTTAATTTCTTCAAAGAGCTTGATAGCGTGTTCATATTCTGGGGGGTCTTTATTCAGCTGCGACTCCAAACAATCCCAAAATGCTTTGTGTACAATAGTTTTCACCGTGCCCACCAAGCTGCRGAACAGATCAGTGGCATTAAAGCACAAAACAGATTTCCAACAGAGAGAATTCATTCTATCACAGTTAACAAATGTGTCCATCAGCCTAGCAGCTTGCTGGGAAATGTGCATTAGCAACATGCACATTGCTAACTCACAGGACCTGCAACCGTATCTGTCTTGGGCCGTGGATCACCAGCTCCTAGACCACAATCTGACCAGGAAAGCGTCCAAAACACTTACTGCAGGAAGTGTTGCAGACAGCTCACAGGCAGGCAAACAAAATTTACCTTGCCTTTTTTGTAAAAACTTTTTATTGGTGTTGCTCATCTGGTGCATTATATGCTAAGCTTTCCTCAAAGCTATTGTCCGTCATAGAATCAGTTAAGGGACTTAAGCAATTAAAAATCTTTTTACAAGTTTCCATCCAAAAGAGAAAAAAAGTCAGGTTTCATTTTAACATTAAAAGATGCTGAACACTTTCAAGCAAGGACATTTTCATTACCTAATTTTCACTCTCTCTAGACCTCCAGATTTCTGCATCTTTTCTGGGGTAGGTTAGAGCTGTATTTGTAGTGAGCTGTATGTTTTCCTCGTAATGGGCCCAGTGTGCTGCCGGCATCTACATGGAAGCTCACCACTTATCTTGCTCCCAGGACTTGGAGCTGCACAAAGGACTAGCACTCTTCATCTTCACCCTGAGACCTCACACTGCAGGGCTTTTATCTACCACATCACACTTCAAGCAAAGCATCAGGTACTTCGAGTTAACGCATCAACTCGGCTAGACTGCAACACATGTTGCAAAAGAGGCAACTTGGACGCACCCCTGGAGCTGTGCTACACAATCCAAGATGCCTTTCTGTCACCTGCTCTTCCATTTCTCCTCTCCTCACAAACCTGGTCTTTCCTTTCTCCATAATCCAGGCTCTTACCTATTCTGCGGGAAGTCCACGTGTTTCATGCAGAAGTCTGCATTTACAGCAATTTCATGAGCTAGAGTCAGATTGGTCAGATTTCTTGTAGCTGCCATCATTTCGTCAAACGTCATTATCTTGGGAGGACTTGCTGCTGGGAAAAACAAGATGAATTCCAAGTCAAAAGACTATAGTAGCCAAGTATAATTGAAAACATTAAACACAAACAACCTAACTACAAACAACAAGTAACAACAAAAACCTTATGGTATTTTGAAATGTAGCCTTTCCTCTTATTTCTGTATCTTACTCAAGACACCTTGTCCTTTTTAAAGAGGAACTTAKGTTTCTCAGACTGCCTACTGACTGCTATGTAAAACCCAACATACTTAAAGCATGGGCCATAAGACATGTTAGTTACAACCCTGAGCACATAGTGGCTACATTGCAATTTAACTTTCAGTAGAGGTGGTTCAGAAGTTACTGACCTGAGAAAATGTACTTACGCGTCCCAGCAGATGCCTCAGAATACACTGTTTTTTCAAATATATATATAAAGGGTATTATAMACAAAACTAAAATACATTTGAAAGCAAATTCTCAACATTTCTGAACCCAAAATTCTGTTACTTAGTATTTGGAATTATGCTTTTGAAGCCTAGCAATGACAGATGAACAGGGAACAGACACTGGCTTACAGCTCCACTAATAAGCTTGCTTTAATATATTAAAAAAAAATACACACACAGTCTGAGATTGCTTGCAGACATGAAAATTAAGGATATTTTGGCTATTATTTATTCAAAGTACCTTCTTGTTTCCTTGTGCAAGTGTATTTTTACTAATACTTTCTTTTTGTTAARAAAGATGAACTTCACAGAAGTGTAAATGTAGTATATTGTAGAACTAAAAKTATCGAYAATTTTGAAGGRMATGGAGSAAAAGGAAGAAAAAAGCCAGCTAAATATGTGTTTGTTTTGTTTTGGTTGTGGGTGCCGATGCCGAGATGAGCMCAAGACGGGACWGCCCACCGCGGCACACTTCCTCAGGCTGGCAGAAGTGAACGGGGTGCCCAAGCAGGCGCCACGGACGTGGCTGCTGCTGGTGGCCCCGGCCCCAGGACAGGCSCTGCTTGTGGCAAGGGGGGCGCCCGTCTTTCTGGCGGCACCGTCCCAAACGCGAGCGGGAGCAAAGCGGGCTTACAGACTGGGGAGCCGGGCTTGCTGGAGGCGTCGCTGTTAAAGCTCTGCCGGGAGCACTCCGAGTCGCTGCAGGACGCGGTGCTCTCGGAGAGGCGCAGGGAGTCCGAGTCGCTGCTCTGCTCCTCGTCGAGGGGCATCGCGAGCCGCTGCCGCCGCCGCTCACGCGGCCAGCCACCACCTGGGGACAAACACACGTGCTCCGTGAAAACGGCGCCTTCCCCAGCTCCGTGTTCCGCAACAGAAGTGGCCATCACCTTTCTTAAAAAGGTGTTACAGGAAGGAACTGGGCTGTCATTAACAACAACAACAAYGCTGCTATTAATCAGCTATATTTACTTTGCAACAGTTTCATATCTGGGCTTCATTTCATATCCTATCATCTCCAGCGTAAGGGGTCTGCAAGTTAGCTTGATTTCAAAAGGAAAAGGCCAGTCACCATAATCCCCAAAGCTCCCCGCGGTGAGCATGCACAAAAGCATTCCCCACCTAGCAATGCGATAGCTTGACTGGAACGTAGGTGCTGCTGGGGAAGAACAAGGGCATGGACAAAGCTCATGGGGAAGAACAAGTGCATGGACAAATACCCACTCCTCCTAGGGGAGGGCTGACCCTAAGCCAAACAGTAACTCCGAGGCTTCTACCATGTCATTCAGCCTACCTGACAATATCAAGAAGCGTCGTGCCGAGCGCTACTTGTGTCCATACAGCAGCTGCTTCCCAGGTAAATAATGGGCAACTCCACAGAATTTGGACAGTGGCACCGTGCTGGTGCCCATGAGTAAYAGTTGTAGGGCAGGAAATGAAAAATCCTTTAACCATTAAAACTGGGAACCGGAAGGCAACAGTCATGATTACTCGCTGAGGAATTTGCCCCAGATACCAGAGCTAGCTGCCCATCTTTCATTATGGCCATGAAACACCCCATAGCAGAGCTATGGACAGTCACCACCATCACCAGCTCTTCTCAAACACGAGGCCAGCAAGTTTTCTGTTTACAAGTTTAAGCTAAATACCAATATGATTAAATAGCATCAGCTTCACAAAACAAGGAACACAGTAACTCTGTCAAATTTGGAAAAAGATGCTTTTGGCAAAAGAAAGGGTGCCCTTTGTGCCCTTCCTAAAGGAAGAAAATGGGATGGTGAGGAAGGTTTTTTGTTTAGTTGCCTTTGTAATTGCCTAACCATGGGTTAAACTACTTGATTTTTTGTGTTACCAGCTCATCTGGTAACACACTTGATGAGGTATTACATGAGGAATACTCCCATGCTAATTAAGATCATCAACGTTTGTGAAGGGTTTTTTTGCTCTCAGACTCTCACCAAAAAAAAAGAAAAAGAAAACAAGCATTTGAGCATATAATACTTTACATAAGGAAAACAAACAAACTAACCAACCACAGAAAAAAAAGACACCAGCAAGAACACTATTTATTACTGGAGAAGTCCCTAGATTTGATGAGAGTATAACAGGCCATAAGTTAAAGATTTGTTGTTCTATTACAGCAGCAATTTTATCATTTCCAACAACAACAACAACGAGAAGTAGATATTAAGCGATATTGTCTAGATGAGATAACAAGTGCCAGGTATTCCTGAAAAAAACAAAAGGCTTCAAGATATTTTTGACTTAGAGACTGTAATCTTCTAAGTTGCAATTACAAATGAGTCATTAGCTCACGTTATGCAAGCAACTAAAACCTTTTCTTCCACCAAGCGTCCCACTGTACAGAYGCTAAAGCTCGAGTTCATTAGAAGTTAACTGCAGCAAGTAACCAACCTTCAGAAACGTGTTCCAGCTTCCTTATGTGGAACCACTCATCTAAAGACAGCAACCCAACACAGCCTGCAAAACATCAGGTATCTATTCTTTCTGGACCTATACAAAAAAAAACACAGCCCATTTCCATGCTTTAATGATGTATTAGACCATATATCTAACTAAAACCCTAACATCTGGCAGATGATGTGGTCCATCACAGGGAGTAGGAGAAGGCAGAAATCAGCCATCAGCACCTAAATCTAAGCACTACTGCTTAGATTTAGGCATTAAAATGTCTTATGTTAAAATGTCTTTATGTTCATAAGACTATGTTCATCTCTTATGAACATAAGAGATCAAATGATCATACAAAAACCTACCCTCATACGTTTTTTATATTATCATTTCAATGACTTTCTTCTCAACAGGTTAGTTCTGACTACAGACTACTAGACTCAGATTCACAACGTCATATTCCACCACAATCCAGTGGGTCAAGATCACCAAATGGGTGAAGTATATTTCCATACACAGTAAGTCTTTGCATACTAATCCTGGCAAAGCATCTTTCAGTAACAAATACCTGCATTTCAGCAAGGCCCATAGCCTACTTTAATGTACTGAGACCATGTCTGTTCATACAGTTTTACCAGGACAGTGCTTCAGAGGACTTCATTTCATTATAAAGGTCCAACAAGGCAAGATGAGATTCCATACTGGAAAAAAAATATGTATATATCTCTCTTCAGTCTTCGGCAGAATAAGTGGATTTCCCCAGAGGATGGGTGAGAGAAAATGGGCACATTCTGCAGATTCAGTACATTACTGCTAAATTGTCAGTTTTACAGCTATAAAAGGCAGCAAGTACATCAAAGGGAATGAGTACACAWGCAGAATCTGGCTATACCATCTAATGCTCTTAATATGCTGCCCAACAGCTAAAAAGCACACATGAAAAACATTCACTGAGCACATCCAAGAAAAGCACAAACTGAGGAAGGCTTTTCTAATTAGTTATAACAATAGAGGACTGAATTACTTAGTACTTTCTTAACAGCACACACTGGAAAATCTTTTCTTCATGCTTTTTTAGATAGTTTAAAGCTCCTCAGAAATTACAGAGGGCAAAGTCCATGTGTAATTTTAAATTTAGATTAATACAATTTCCAGCCTGAATTAAAAAAAGAAGTGTATTTCAGAAGTCTTAGTTTTTCAGAATTGCCATTATGAATTACATATTAGGATATTGTTTTAATAGACAACTGAACATCCTACCTATTCCACTTAGGGGTCAGGCTCTAGTTACAAATTGCTTTATTCTTCCTGTATTCAAAAATAACTAATGTCTACTTTTATTTTAGGTCTGATAGCTTGGCAGTGGGTTTCATTTAGCCGCGCATTCCCTTCCCTCCATCCTTTTCTAAAGATTGGTTCTCTTCTTCAGCAGAACAAACCCTACACGTGAGACAAAGCTAACGTAACATCTAACCACCCAAAGCATCAGTCCATTTTCTCTCCTCCCTCAATAACCGAGCTCGATTTGAAGTAACAGGGAGGATGAAGCTGTCATGGATTCCAGTGCTGTTTGTGCCCAGCTTCCCTTCTTGCCTCCCGCCAAGCCTGTGGCAGAGCACGAGGCTGCAGGTTCCTGCAGACACCCAGCTCTGACACCAGCTGCTACTTCACAGAATCCCAGACTGGTTGAGGTCGGAAGGGACCTGCAGAGTCCAGCTAGTCCAACCCCTGCTCCAGCAGGGACACCCAGAGCACGGGGCACAGGGCGGCATCCAGGCGGGTTGGGAAGATCTCCAGAGAAGGAGACTCCACAGCCTCCCCGGGCAGCTTCACAGGAAATAAGTTCTTCTTCATATGGAGATGGAACTGACGGTGTTTCAACTTATACCCATCACCCCTTGTCCTGTCACTGGCCACTAATGAGAAGAGTTCAGCCCCATCCTCCCTACAGTCCCCCCTCAGGTATTTGTACATATTGATCAGATCCCGTCTCAACCTTCTCTTCTCCAGGCTAAACAGGCCCAGCTCACTCAGTCTCTCCTCATATGAGAGACGTTCCAGTCCCTTAATCATCTTGGTTGCTCTCCGCTGGACCCTCTCGAGAAGCTCCATGTCCCTCTTATACTGGGGAGCCCAGAACTGCCCCCAGTACTCCAGGTGCAGCCTCACCAGAGCTAAGCAGAGGGGCAGGATCCCCTCCCTTGACCTGCTGRCAACATCCTCCTGATGCAGCCAGGATCCCATTGGCCTTCCTGGCCACGAGGGCGCTCCTGCCGCATGGTTAACTTGGTGTCAACCGGGACTCCCAGGTCCCTCTCCGTGGAGCTGCTCTCCAGCAGGTCAACCCCTAAACTGTACTGGTGCCTGGGGTTATTCCTGCCCAGGGGCAGGGCCTTGTTGAACCACTTGTCCTKGTTGAACCTCATGAGGTTCCTCTCTGCCCAACTCTCCAGCCTGTCCCTCAGGTCCCTCTGGATGGGAGCGCAGCCCTCCGGAGTGTCGGCCACTCCACCCAGCTTGGTGYCATCTACAGACTTGCTCTTCCCAACGGGACCCCGCACCGGGACATGACCGGCCGGCGGGACACGGGCGGCTCCGGGGCACCTCGCTGGCCGCAGGCTCTGCCCCGGGGACAGGGGGGCCGCGCGGCCTCCCCCGCGCACCGTCCTCGGCCTCCGTCCCGTCCCGCGGCTCCGCTGGCTCCGCTGGCTCCGCGGGCCCTGCGCCCCCGCTGCCTCCCAGCTCACGGCATCTCCTCGGGGACGGAGTCTCCCTTTCCAAGCTTTGCCAGCGCGCGGCAGCGCCGGAGCAAAGCGCCTTTGYGGGCGCCTCCCGGGAGCCCCTAAGGGGCACTGCTCCCCGCGGGCGGCCTCAGCTGCGGGCCGCCCCTTTCCCACGGGACGGCTCGTGCTGAACGCTTACAACGGCAGAAACGCCGGGAGCGGCGGCCGGGAGCGGCGGCCGCGGTCCCCGGGTCCCCCCCCCGCAGGACTCCTCCTCCTCCTCCTCCTCCTCCTCCTCCATCTGCTCGGCGCCCTCTCTCCTCCCCCGGCGCCCTGTTCTGCCCGTTACCAGAGGCAGGAGCTTGGCACTCGCCGAGCAAAACAAACAGCGTTTCCAAGGACGGGCCCGCCAGGGGAGGGAGGGCGGGTGGACGCGGCCCGGCCCCGGGGCACG